TCTCAGACGGATTCCTGCATCCAGGAGAGCCGTGAGTGCTCTCAGGAGAGCTCTGGCACAAAGGGGGCAAGGCAGGTGTGTTTATCCCGGTCTCTTTTATCTTCCTGCTGCTGTGGAGTGGCGCTGGGGCTGATTCCCCTCAAGGGTTAAATCCCTGCGCTGGAGGTGAGCTCCAAGGAGCTGCTCCAAAGCCAACCCTCGGCGGCTGACTGTGCTCTTTATTCTGCAATTCACAAAGAGAATGTTTGCAGCCTCTCCAGCTCTCTCATGCACACACAAAAGATGCTTTTTTTTTTTTTTTTTTAAAAAAATTATTTTGTATTTCTCTTGGTTTGAATGTTTTCTGTTTCTTCTCGCAGCTACCTGAAGTGATCTCTGTGTGCAGACCCTGCCGAGCCTTACCCTGCACCGGGCTGGTTGGAAAGAACAAAAAATGTCTTCAACTTCTGCAGCCAACAGGATTAGAAGAAATTCAGGATATGAGTGTGCAGTGGTTTGGGTTTGTTAAGTTGAATTTTTTTTGTTGTTGTGAGATAGGATTAGGAGGGACAGGTTTAAATGGTATAAAGAAAAAGTTTATTGCTACAAACTATAAGAAAAAAGGATAAAATTGTTAGAGTACTTTTTCTCTCCCAACATACTTTTTTTTACACTGATAATGTACAGAAAACTAATTAGTTAATTATTTTTAATTGTTTTTTTACTGATTTACTTGGGAGAGGAGACTTCTTTTTTTAGTCTATGGAGACGATTTTAATAAGGAATAGTATTTTTGTGGCTTCAATGTTATAGCGAGAATGAAAATCTGATTATTATATAAAAAATTTTTTTTACTAACTAGTTTTTTTTTACAACTATTATTGAGGGCTATGTTAACTTATGGGGCACACTTTAAAGATTATAACAGTTTAAACAAAAGTTTTTTTCATCTTGAAGTGAATTCAGATATGACCCAAAGAGGCTGTGGCTGCCCCTGGATCCCCGGCAGTGCCCAAGGCCAGGTTGGACATTGGGACAGTGGGAGGTGTCCCTGCCATGGCAGGGGTGGCTCTGGGGGGGATTTGGGTCCCTCCCAACCCAAACCAATCCATGATTCTGAATTTTCCTGTGCCCTCTTGTTCTGCTTTCAGCTGCCCAGGAACTGAAGGGCACTGAGCCCTCGTCTGCTTTTCCTTCCTAAATTACCAGAGTTTGAAGTTTTGGTATCAATAATTCCGATTTTAGATAAAAGCAGCTTGTGAATATTCTATACGTACCAGAAAACAAATTGATTGAGTGGAGTGGAAAGGAAACTGATATTCTACAGAGGGAATTTTCCAGCAGGAATGCTGCTCCCTCCTTTTCTCCCCCCAGTCTGCCGGAGCTGCCCGAGGGCTGGGGGAGCCTCCCGAGGAGCCCGGGGCAATTCCCACCATCCCAGAGAGAGGAAAATCCTGGAGGCTGCAGTCCTGCCTCACACAGGTAACCCTGCCACGGTTTGGGCTGCACTGAAGCTGCTCCTCATTCACCTCCTCTTTTTCTGATATCTCCTAATGGGCTTGTAACGAGGCTCGTGGAAATCAATGGAACTCAGTAAAAAATCCCATCAAAGACCGGGTATTTCACGTGCCAGGAGCCGAAACAAGGGGTCATCCTATGGCAACCTTGGATTTGATTTGATTTCATTTGATTTGATGTGTTTGCCCGGGGCTCTGCTCGGTGGAGACTTGGCTTGGGCTCGGAGGAGCGGTGGGAGCTGCTCCAGCACCCACCACAGACACCTACGGGAGCCCCAAAGATCCCACGGGAGCCCCAAAGATCCCACGGGAACCCCAAAGATCCCACGGGAACCCCAAACATCCCACGGGAGCCCTGAAATCCACGGGAACCCCAAACATCCCATTGGAACCCCAGACATCCCATGGGAACCTGCTGTGGTTTGGGATTTGGGAGTTCATCCCAAAACCAAAAAGAGGGAATTTATCAAAGATTCCGATGACAACAAAAGCAGTGCCTGTGCTGGAATGAACAGGCAACGAATCCCGGGGCTCCAGGTCGGAGCTCATTTCCCTGGATGCCATCGCACAGTTTGTGGCTTTGTTCGGTCCATTCTGGAATCTTCACTCCTCAGCGCTGCTGGGAACAAAGGAGTGAGGCAGAGATCGGGATTACCCCGGGACAGCCCGTCAGTCCGGGCTGGGCTGGGAAAAGTGCCCAGAGTAATCCCCTCAGTGCCCCAGCGGGGTCCTTTATCCGGGGTCCTTTATCCGGGGTCCTTTATCCGGGGTCCTTTATCCGGGGTCCTTTATCCGGGGTCCTTTATCCGGGGTCATTGTTCCAGGGTCATTGTTCCAGGGTCATTTATCTGGGGTCACTGGTCCGGGGTCATTGGTCCCGGGTCACTGGTCCGGGATCATTTGTCCCAGGGTCATTTGTCCGGGGTCATTTATCCAAGGTCACTGGTCCAGGGTCATTTATCTGGGATCACTGGTCCGGGGTCATTGTTCCAGGGTCATTGGTCCCGGGTCATTTATCCAAGGTTCCAGGGTCACTGGTCCCGGGTCATTTGTCCCGGGTCATTTGTCCCGGGTCATTTGTCCGGCCGGGGCTGTGCCAGCTCCAGTAGCTCCTCCAGGGGCTCCGGGTGCTGCCGTGCCCGGAGGATGGGCTCAGGGAGGAGCTCAGGGGGAATCTGGGTGTGGTCACCCCCCCTCTGTCCCACAGCACCGGAGGAGAAGATTCCCTGTCCCTGCTGCTGCCGACAGGCAGGGATTGATTCCCTGGGATCGGCTGAGCGCGGGATTGTGCCGGGATTGTACCGGGACTGTGCCAGGATTGTGCCGGGATTGTGTCAGGATTGTGCCAGGATTGTACCGGCATTGTGTCAGGATTGTGTCGGGACTGTGCCAGGATTGTGCCGGGATTCTGGGTGGTTTTGGCACCTTCAGAGGCTCAAACGTGCCCCAGGTGCACTCAGGGCATCCCATGGGATGCCTTTGGTGCAGGATCTGGGCTGTCTGTGGCCACCACTCCAAACGAAACGTGGCCACCTCTCCAAATTAAACGGATCCCCGTGGATGGCTGCTGATGCACAGCGCCCCTTCCTCGAACCTTTCAGCGCTTCACCCTCAGAGTTGGGTCATTACCCGACATTGCCTCACCAGACAGCCCCGCCCTGAGGAAAGGTGGTTACGAATGTCCTCAGGGAGAGAAATTCATAATGTAGATATTAACAAAAGGGATGTCTCTTTGGAGTGCTCAGACTCATTTTTCAGACTTAAAAATGAAGATGATGGGTCTAAGCCTTTTATTTCAGTGCTAAATTGGCTTTTTGGCTGCCTAAAGTGCTCTTTGCAGTGTTCAAGGGCCAAGGTGTGCCCCAGAGGTGACACTGATGAACTGTCTCAGGTGCCTTTTCCCCTCATTGCATCCAAACCCAGCTCCTCGAGCACCACTGCATCTCACAGGAAACAGCATTTTTCTGTTTGTTGTTTTTTGACTGGTGATTTTGTCATTGTGTTTCTGTTCCTCTGCTCAGTCCCAATTACCAGGATGTGGTTTTGAGTTTTACAAACAGCCACACACTAAAACATTTAGCAGTGATCCTCTGTTCATCTGATTTCTGTCACTTTGTGCATTATTCCAATCTCCATTTCCCAGTGAATCTCAGGGTAATTAGAAACAATGTACTCATTTCCCTGATCTCGTGTTCAGCCACAGATCGTCATTTGATTCCAAAACTTTTTGGGGATTACCTTTACTGAGGTTATTTGCTGCCATGGGAATTGCATTCCTCTGCAACGATTTTGAGCTGTGATGCCGAAACATTTGTGTGTTGTGTGAATTCAGGCTTGGCCCATTTTGCTGTTATTCATTCCTTTAATTTTTTGCAGGAGCTGCTGGAAGCTGCGATGCCGTCAGCAGAGCTCGCTCAGCTCCTTCATTTCCCAGCAGGGAGGAGACAGCAGGAGGGACAAACCCACAGGTGGGGAGGGGACAAACCCACAGGTGGGAAAGGGACAAACCCACAGGTGGGGAGGGGACAAACCCACAGGTGGGGAGGGACAAACCCACAGGTGGGAAAGGGACAAACCCACAGGTTCTAAAGGGACAAACCCACAGGTTCTAAAGGGACAAACCCGGGTTGTTTGGGAACATTGGCAGCCCTGGGAGGGCACGGGAGCCGCTCTCGGGCAGCAGCAGCGGCCCCAGGCTCCTCTCCTCTCGTCTGCCGGGAAATCCACAGGGTCCCGGGCTGGTCTGGGATGAAAGGGAACTTCAAATCCCACCCAGTGCCACCCCTGCCATGGCAGGGACACCTCCCACTGTCCCAGGTGCTCCAGCCCCAATGTCCAACCTGACAATTCCAGGGATCCAGGGGCAGCCACAGCTGCTCTGGGCACCCTGTCCCCGGGGAAGAATTTCCTCCCAGTATCCCACCTAACCCTGTCCCCCGGCAGTTTAGATCCATGTTATTTTTTCCCCGGCAGTTTAAATCCATGTTATTTCTTTCCCTGCCGATGGAAGGGTCTCGGCTGAGGGGCAGCCGTGGGACTCCTGAACTCGCTGCTGCTCTGATGCCGAGGCACTCGCACGGCCTGGGGAAAGGGGACATTGAGAGGCTCAGAAAGGTTTTGGGGGGCTGAGGCTTCTGGGGATGGCGAGGAGCTTGGAGACCTCTGGGAGTCGGAGATGTTGGGGAGATCTGGGGGATTTTAGTCCTGAGAGGGGCTCAGGGAACTTGGGGCTATCGGGGGTCCCGGGGGTACCGCGTGCAGGGGATGACTCCGAAAATCCCAATTGCTCCTGCACCGGCGGAGCCGCTCTCCTAGCGGGGGCTGCACCGGGCCCGGTACCCCCTCCCTCCATCCCTCCCTCCGTCCCCCCGTCCCTCCCCCATCCCGCCCCCTCCCCGGGCGGAGCCTGCCCGCGGTGCCGCGGGCTCGGAGTTGCGCCGGGCGGCGGAGGCGAGCGGAGCGCGGCGCTCCCGGCCCCGGTCCCGTTTGTGTCCGGGATGCAGGATGCTCCCGGCCGCCGCCCCGCGCCCTCCTCCTCTTCTGTGGCCTCCGCCCGCCGAGCCCCCCGCTCCCCCCTGGGCCTGGGTGCTGCCCGCGGCCGCGGGGCTGCTCCGGGTGGGCGCTGCCACCGCCGGGGCTCCGCCACCGCCGCCACCGCCGCCACCACCGCCACCAGCGCTGCTGCTGCCGCCCCCCGCGCTGGTGCGGCCCGGGCCGGGCTGGCGCGGCCCCGCAGAGCCCCCGCTGCTGCCGCTGCTGCCCGGGGAGCCGCTCCTGCACGGCCAGGTAAGGGCGGAGCCGCCGTGCGGGGACACAACTTTGCCGGAGCCGCTGCTCCGGTGTCAGCCCCGGCACCGAGACCCCCGCCCGAGGGATGGGGGCGGCGGTGGGACAGACCCCGCGGGGCGCCGGGGGCTCCCCGGGATCTGCATCCTCCCCTTCCCAAGCTCTGCATCCTCCCCTTCCCAAGCTCTGCATCCCTCTTTTCCCGGCTTCTACATCTCCCTTCCCCGAGCTCTGCAGCATCCTCCTTCCCAAGGTTTGCATCTCCTCTTCCCCAGGTTCTACATCTCCCTTCCCTGTGCTCTGCATCCCCCTTCCTGGCTTTTACATCCCCCTCCTTCGAGGCGCTGCATCTTCCCCTTCCTAAGCTCTCCATCCCCCCTTTTCCTTGGGTTCTCCATCCCCCCTTTTCCTTGGGTTCTCCATCCCCCCTTTCCCTGGGTTCTCAGTCCCCCTTCCCAAGCTCTGCATCCCCCCTTTCCCCGGGCTCTGCACCCCCTTCCCGATGCTCTGCGCCCCTCGGGCTCTGTCGCGGCACTTCCAGCGGCTCTGGAAACGTGCGGCGGGGATTTTTCCGGGAGGAGAGGGGCTGGGGGTCCCTCCGGCGGGGTTTTGGGGTCCCTCCGGCCGGGCTGGGCTCCCCGCAGGATTCGCTTTCCGCAGCCGCAGCCGGAACGGGAGCGATGCTCCAGGCGCGCTCCGGCAGCCGGGGCAGCATCGGCGCTGAGCGTTCCGTGAATATTTATAAAGCCGAAAGTTTTGAGCCGTGTCACTGGAACCAGCGTGTCGCGCCAGTGCTTTCCCTGATGAATATTTCAATTATTAATTGCTGCCGTGAGGCTGCTCGCAGGAGCCGAGCCCTCAGCCGGGTGTTCGCCTCTCACAGCGGCAGAGCCGGGGCTGTGCGCGCAGTTTTGCGTCGGATTTATGGTTTTTTGGGAGACAGAAGTAAAAATAAACGCGAGCCGCGAGCGCGGTGGCGTCCGCTCCATTCCGTGTGATGATTTCCAGCCTTTTCGAGCTCGAGCGTCTCTTGCGGTTCGCGAGGAAACAGTCGGCGCTGCTCTAATGAAACGGGAACATCAATTATTCCCCAGCGGGAGAGCGCTCCACGAACCTGCCGAGGTGGTTTTGCTGTGGGAACGCATTTGCCAGGCGGATTTAAGTTGAGGAAAAAGACATTTCTGGCGTTTCCTTTGGCTCTGCGGACGCGTTTGGAGGCGCTCGCTGGTTCGGGGTGAGCACAGAATCTCACGCTGCAGCCATGGCCGGTGCTGCCTCTCCACGTTCTGCTCTGGGGCTCCCGAACCGGGCTGTGCCCGTGCTGCCAGGGTGCTGCTCACCCTGCGGTGCCCGAGCGAACACAAACCCTTGGGCTTGAAGGGACTTTGCTGACGTTTTCCGTGCTCATCAATTAGGAGATCATGGAAAGCATCGCTTACTCAGCGTACAATTCTGTTAATTCCTCTTGTGTTTGTTTGTTTTCCCCTCCGAAGTGGATATTTGGAGCTCATTCGCCGGTCGTAGGATTTTCCCCTTCTTCCAGCGTGGAATTCGTGCCGGTGCTCCCTCCCGTGTACACAGCCACGGTGCCGCCCCACGCTGGGAAGGGCTGGATTGATAAAAGGCTGCCCAACTGCAAAGTAAGTGCGATCCTGGCGTGCTGGAGGCTTGCTGAGGCTGCAGTACATGGAGTACATAAAGTGATGTGGCTTTAGGGCTGGGAGGGCTCGGTGTTTGTCAGGAAAACCTGCGGAGGAGGAATGTTGGAAAGGGCAGGTGATGCTTCACCATTCCCAACTTTTAATAAGGCTAAAATGTCTTTAATCTTTATTCCTTTGAGTAGAACGTCTTTATTTTCCTACGAGAAGTGATCATGGGGGTTTTCCATCTTCCTTTTCTCCCCGGTTTTCCCAGTGTTTGTCCCAATGTGTGCCACAGTCCAGCGTTGGCAGAGCGCTGTCACCGCGGGCTGTGCCACATCCCTGGTGCCACATCGGGGTCCCGTGTCCCCATCCCAGCTCTGTTCCCATGTCTGTCCCTTTGTCAGCTGAGTGCTGAACACTCAGGTTTGTGTCGCTGTCCCTCAGCTGGTTCTGTGCCTTTGTCCCACCCCGTCCCTGAGCTGGTTCTGTGCCTTTGTCCCCTGCTGTCCCTCACCCCTGTCCTGGCTGGGGAGGTGGCACAGTCCC